ACGATTGCCACCCGTCTGTTTATCTTCCATAAGACTAGACACACGATTGCCACCCGTCTGTTAATCTTTCCTAAGACCAGACACACGATTGCAACCCGTCTGTTTATCTTCCATAAGACTAGACACATGATTGCCACCCGTTTGTTAATCTTCCCTAAGACCAGACACACGATTGCCACCCGTCTGTTATTCTTTCATAAGACCAGACACACGGTTGCCACCCTTCTGTTAATCTTTCATAAACCCAGACACACGATTGCCACCCGTCTGTTAATCTTCCCTAAGACCAGACACACGATTGCCACCCGTCTGTTAATCTTTCATAAGACCAGACACACGATTGCCACCCTTCTGTTAATCTTTCATAAACCCAGACACACGATTGCCACCCCTCTGTTAATCTTCCCTAAGATCAGACACACGATTGCCACCTGTCTGTTAATCTTCCCTAAGACCAGACAGACGATTGCCACCCTTCTGTTAATCTTTCATAAGACGAGACACGCGGTTGCCACCCGTCTGGTAATCTTTCATAAACCCAGACACACGATTGCCACCCGTCTGTTAATCTTCCCTAAGACCAGACACACGATTGCCACCCGTCTGTTATTCTTTCATAAGACCAGACACACGATTGCCACCCTTCTGTTAATCTTTCATAAACCCAGACACACGATTGCCACCCCTCTGTTAATCTTCCCTAAGATCAGACACACGATTGCCACCTGTCTGTTAATCTTCCCTAAGACCAGACAGACGATTGCCACCCTTCTGTTAATCTTTCATAAGACGAGACACGCGGTTGCCACCCGTCTGGTAATCTTTCATAAACCCAGACACACGATTGCCACCCGTCTGTTAATCTTCCCTAAGACCAGACACACGATTGCCACCCGTCTGTTATTCTTTCATAAGACCAGACACACGGTTGCCACCCTTCTGTTAATCTTTCATAAACCCAGACACACGATTGCCACCCCTCTGTTAATCTTCCCTAAGATCAGACACACGATTGCCACCTGTCTGTTAATCTTCCCTAAGACCAGACAGACGATTGCCACCCTTCTGTTAATCTTTCATAAGACGAGACACGCGGTTGCCACCCGTCTGGTAATCTTTCATAAACCCAGACACACGATTGCCACCCGTCTGTTAATCTTCCCTAAGACCAGACACACGATTGCCGACCGTCTGTTATTCTTTCATAAGACCAGACAGACGATTGCCACCCTTCTGTTAATCTTTCATAAACCCAGACACTAGGTTGCCACCCGTCTGTTAATCTTCCCTAAGACCAGACACACGATTGCCACCCGTCTGTTATTCTTTCATAAGACCAGACACACGGTTGCCACCCTTCTGTTTATCTTTCATAAACCCAGACACACGGTTTCCACCCGTCTGTTAATCTTCCATACGACCAGACACACGATTGTCACCCGTCTGTTTATCTTCCATAAGAACAGACACACGATTGTCACCCGTCTATTAATCTTCCCTAAGACCAAACACACGATTGCCACCCGTCTGTTTATCTTCCATAAGACTAGACACACGATTGCTATCCGTCTGTTAATCTTCCAAAAGACCAGACACACGATTGCCACCTGTCTGTTTATCTTTCCATAAGACCAGACACACGATTGCCACCCGTCTGTTTATCTTCCATAAGAACAGACACACGATTGTCACCCGTCTGTTTCTCTTCCATTAGAACAGACACACGATTGCCACCCGTCTGTTTATTTTCCATAAGACCAGACACACGATTGCCGACCGTCTGTTATTCTTTCATAAGACCAGACAGACGATTGCCACCCGTCTGTTAATCTTTCATAAGACCAGACACACGATTGCCACCCGTCTGTTATTCTTTAATAAGACCAGACAGACGATTGCCACCCGTCTGTTATTCTTTCATAAGACCAGACACACGATTGCCACCCGTCTGTTATTCTTTCATAAGACCAGACACACGGTTGCCACGCTTCTGCTAATCTTTCATAAACCCAGACAGACGATTGCCACCCGTCTGTTAATCTTCCCTAAGACCAGACACACGATTGTCACCCGTCTGTTTATCTTTCCTAAGACCAGACACACGATTGCCACCCGTCTGTTTATCTTCCATAAGACTAGACACACGATTGCCACCCGTCTGTTAATCTTTCCTAAGACCAGACACACGATTGCAACCCGTCTGTTTATCTTCCATAAGACTAGACACATGATTGCCACCCGTTTGTTAATCTTCCCTAAGACCAGACACACGATTGCCACCCGTCTGTTATTCTTTCATAAGACCAGACACACGGTTACCACCGTTCTGTTAATCTTTAATAAACCCAGACACACGATTGCCAACCGTCTGTTAAACTTCCCTAAGACCAGACACACGATTGCCACCTGTCTGTTAATCTTTCCTAAGACCAGACACACGATTGCCACCCGTCTGTTAATCTTTCCTAAGACCAGACACACGGTTGCCACCCGTCTGTTAATCTTTCCTAAACCCAGACACACGATTGCCACCCGGCTGTTCATCTTCCCTAAGACCAGACACACGATTGCCACCCGTCTATTAATCCTTCCTAAGACTAGACACACGGTTGCCACCCGTCTGTTAATCTTTCCTAAACCCAGACACACGATTGCCACCCGTCTGTTTATTTTCCATAAGACTAGACACACGATTGCCACCCGTCTGTTTCTCTTCCATAAGACTAGACACACGATTGCCACCCGTCTGTTAATCTTTCCTAAGACCAGACACACGATTGCAACCCGTCTGTTTATCTTCCATAAGACTAGACACATGATTGCCACCCGTTTGTTAATCTTCCCTAAGACCAGACACACGATTGCCACCCGTCTGTTAATCTTTCCTAAGACCAGACACACGGTTGCCACCCGTCTGTTAATCTTTCATACGACCAGACACACGATTGTCACCCGTCTGTTTATCTTCCATAAGACCAGACACACGATTGCCACCCGTCTGTTAATCTTTCCTAAGCCCAGACACACGGTTGCAACCCGTCTGTTTATCTTCCATAAGACTAGACACATGATTGCCACCCGTTTGTTAATCTTCCCTAAGACCAGACACACGATTGCCACCCGTCTGTTATTCTTTCATAAGACCAGACACACGGTTACCACCCTTCTGTTAATCTTTAATAAACCCAGACACACGATTGCCAACCGTCTGTTAAACTTCCCTAAGACCAGACACACGATTGCCACCTGTCTGTTAATCTTCCCTAAGACCAGACACACGATTGCCACCCGTCTGTTAATCTTTCCTAAACCCAGGCACACGGTTGCCACCCGTCTGTTAATCTTCCCTAAGACCAGACACACGATTGCCACCCGTCTGTTAATCTTTCATAAGACCAGACACACGATTGCCACCCTTCTGTTAATCTTTCATAAACCCAGACACACGATTGCCACCCCTCTGTTAATCTTCCCTAAGATCAGACACACGATTGCCACCTGTCTGTTAATCTTCCCTAAGACCAGACAGACGATTGCCACCCTTCTGTTAATCTTTCATAAGACGAGACACGCGGTTGCCACCCGTCTGGTAATCTTTCATAAACCCAGACACACGATTGCCACCCGTCTGTTAATCTTCCCTAAGACCAGACACACGATTGCCACCCGTCTGTTATTCTTTCATAAGACCAGACACACGATTGCCACCCTTCTGTTAATCTTTCATAAACCCAGACACACGATTGCCACCCCTCTGTTAATCTTCCCTAAGATCAGACACACGATTGCCACCTGTCTGTTAATCTTCCCTAAGACCAGACAGACGATTGCCACCCTTCTGTTAATCTTTCATAAGACGAGACACGCGGTTGCCACCCGTCTGGTAATCTTTCATAAACCCAGACACACGATTGCCACCCGTCTGTTAATCTTCCCTAAGACCAGACACACGATTGCCGACCGTCTGTTATTCTTTCATAAGACCAGACAGACGATTGCCACCCTTCTGTTAATCTTTCATAAACCCAGACACTAGGTTGCCACCCGTCTGTTAATCTTCCCTAAGACCAGACACACGATTGCCACCCGTCTGTTAATCTTTCCTAAGACTAGACACACGGTTGCCACCCGTCTGTTAATCTTTCATAAACCCAGACACACGATTGCCACCCGTCTGTTCATCTTCCCTAAGACCAGACACACGATTGCCACCCGTCTGTTAATCTTTCCTAAGACTAGACACACGGTTGCCATCCGTCTGTTAATCTTTCCTAAACCAAGACACACGATTGCCACCCGTCTGTTTATCTTCCATAAGACTAGACACATGACTGCCACCCGTCTGTTAATCTTTCCTAAGACTAGACACACGGTTGCCAACCGTCTGTTAATCTTTCATAAACCCAGACACACGATTGCCACCCGTCTGTTTATCTTCACTAAGACCAGACACACGATTGCCACCTGTCTGTTAATTTTTCCTAAACCCAGACACACGATTGCCACCTGTCTGTTCATCTTCCCTAAGACCAGACACACGATTGCCACCCGTCTGTTAATCTTTCCTAAGACTAGACACACGGTTGCCACCCGTCTGTTAATCTTTCCTAAACCCAGACACACGATTACCATCCGTCTGTTTATCTTCCATAAGACTAAACACGATTGCCACCCGTCTGTTTATCTTCCATAAGACTAGACACATGATTACCCCCCGTCTGTTAATCTTTCCTAAGACCAGACACACGATTACCACCCGTCTGTTTATCTTCCCTAAGCCCAGACACACGATTGCCACCCGTCTGTTAATCTTCCATAAGACTAGACACATGATTGTCACCCGTCTGTTAATCTTCCCTAAGACTAGACACATGATTGCCACCCTTCTGTTAATCTTTCATAAACCCAGACAAACGGTTGCCACCCGTCTGTTAATCTTTGCATTAGTGCTCCTGGTACACCAATGATGATGTCTAACAGTAGGAAACGTAACCGGTTACCCTCAATGGATTGAACATATGCCGTCTTCCTCCTGGCCCCTATCCAGTATCGTATCGGGTCCTCAGCCTTCTTTATAAGCTCATGTAATGTGGTTGGAGCAGCTAAAAGACTTCCATTTCTTTTACACAAGTCTTCAGCCTCGTCATAACGTAGGTAAAGAACTGTACCGTTATAGTCTCTGAGTGGATAAAGCCAGGTTTTGTTTGCTACGTCATCATCTATAAATAGGAAATAACTATATAAGTAAGACATGTTATTTATTTCTCATTTATAACAGACACAGGAATAACATTCCATGGGATAATACCTTGAGCTTACATGAACAAGTTATTGTAATAACCGTATATAAAGCAGTTTAAAACCATTATTATGTGTATTGGTTAATTGTACTGTGAAGATTAGTGGTGTCAGTTAAATGGAGATAGGTAGTAGGTCTAGTTAATTATACTGTGAAGATAAGTGCTGTCGGTTAATTGGAGATAGGTAGTAGGTCTAGTTAATTGTACTGTGGAGATAAGTGCTGTCGGTTAATTGGAGATAGATAGTAGGTCTAGTTAATTGTACTGTGAAGATAAGTGCTGTCGGTTAATAGGAGATAGGTAGTAGGTCTAGTTAATTGTCCTGTGAAGATTAGTGGTGCCGGTTAATTGGAGATAGGTAGTAGGTCTAGTTAACTGTACTGTGAAGATAAGTGCTGTCGGTTAATAGGAGATAGGTAGTAGGTCTAGTTAATTGTACTGTGGAGATAAGTGCTGTCGGTTAATTGGAGATAGGTATTAGGTCTAGTTAATTGTACTGTGGAGATTAGTGGTGTCGGTTAATTGGAGATAGGTAGTAGGTCTAGTTAATTGTACGTCTGTCGTCCTTGTACTAAGATTCTATGTTTACACGTATGTTACAGCAGAACAACTGTATAACAAAACATATACATAACGACATTTGAAATTTTTGTTTTGGATTTAATCGTGTGAGGCCAGACATGCGCTGCTAGTTCTCGATCTGTTCGAACTATCACAAACTGGATAGCACACAATAGTTATGATGTCTCCCTGATAACACACATTAGTTTTGATGTCACCCTGATAACACACAATAGTTATGATGTCTCCCTGATAACTCACAACAGTTATGATGTCTCCCTGATAACACAAAAGTTATGATGTCTCCCTGATAACACAATAGTTATGATGTCTCCCTCATAACACAATAGTTATAATGTCTCCCTGATAACACACAATAGTTATGATGACTCCCTGATAACACAATAGTTGTGATGTTTCCCTGATAACAAAATAGTTATGATGTCTCCCTGATAACACACAATAGTTATGACGTCTCCCTGATAACACAACAGTTATGATGTTTCCCTGATAACACAATAGTTATGATGTCTCTCTTATATCACACAATAGTTATGATGTCTCCCTGATAACACAATAGTTATGATGTCTCCCTGATAACACAATAGTTATGATGTCTCCCTGATAACACAATAGTTATGATATCTCCCTGATAACACAAAAGTTATGATGACTCCCTGATAACACACAATAGTTCTGATGTCTCCCTGATAACACAATAGTCATGATGTCTCCCTGATAACACACAATAGTTATGATGTCTCCCTAATAACACAATAGTTATGATGTCTCCCTGATAACACACAATAGTTATGATGTCTCAATGATAACACACAATAGTTATGATGTCTCCCTGATTACACAATAGTTGTGATGTTTCCCTGATAACACAATAGTTATGATGTCTCCCTGATAACACAATAGTCATGATGTCACCCTGATAACACAAAAGTTATGATGACTCCCTGATAACACACAATAGTTATGATGTCTCCCTGATAACACAATAGTCATGATGTCTCCCTGATAACACACAATAGTTATGATGTCTCCCTGATAACACAATAGTTATGATGTCTCCCTGATAACACACAATAGTAATGATGTCTCCCTGATAACACAATAGTTATGCTGTCTCCCTGATAACACACAATAGTTATGATGTCTCCCTGATAACACAATAGTTATGATGTCTCCCTGATAACACACAATAGTAATGATGTCTCCCTGATAACACAATAGTTATGCTGTCTCCCTGATAACACACAATAGTTATGATGTCTCCCTGATAACACAATAGTTATGATGTTTCCCTGATAACACAATAGTTATGATGACTCCCTGATAACACACAATAGTTCTGATGTCTCCCTGATAACACAATAGTTGTGATGTCTCCCTGATAACACAATAGTTATGATGTCTCCCTGATAACATACAATAGCTATGATGTCTCCCTAATAACACAATAGTTATGATGTCTCCCTGATAACACAATAGTTATGACGTCCTCTTGATAACACACATCAAACTCTTATATAAACGTTTAAGTAATCATGGGAAAACAATCACATGTACACAAGCAAACATTATATACGTCGAACTATATGAAATGTTTGCCATGTAAGACATTTTAACATTAAACTACGGTATTAGTTATAGCAAATCAGTATTTTATCACTTACACGACATACATAGGGATGGATGTCTTGCCTCGCAATTTCTTGCAAGAATACGAAAATCAGCGACGTAATTTGACCGTTCATACATGCCACAGTTATTGCCAGACGATTCCTGCTTGGTTTGTGTATCTATAAATTCAACCAGAAACGAATAATGTACTATTTATCCTCGGCATACAGGAAAAATATGTTTAAAAATATATGTCATGTATCCTTCTTTTGTCTTTTACTTGAACACATTTGATGAAACATCCAAATAAACAATACACATGTGTGCTATACAGGAATGCCGATGTTTCCTGGTGACTTACATGTTGAGTAATGTAAAAACACATTTCCTCCACAATTGTAACGTCCGTTATCGTAGCACGTGACGTCACACTCACTAAGGTTTTCCCGAGCAGCAACATCCGAAGCCTTCTCCACACAAACACACTTGTACTTCTGTTAAATAAGTATTTTATTAAACCGATGATTTAAAGTGATGTCGTTCATCAGTTACAAAGAATTGTTTCAAGCTTATAAAGGATGGGAGGGTTTAGTTTTAGTTTTAGTTAGGAACAGAAATTAATTGACAGGAAGTCATCAAACGGACTAATTTGAATGTGTGACAAGTTGTATAGTAATAGTAAACGTAGCGCTTACACTGATCAACATATCCGAATCACCACAGATTCGTTTACATGTTGCCAAGTCATTGTTTTTTATCCTCGTATACTGTGAGCCATTGGATCTGTAGCACCCTTCAACAAAAAATAGATAACTTCATCACATTTTTTTAAAACATTTAAGATTTCTTTGACTTGTCTGTGTCCCCATTTTACTAACTTAAATGAGTCCACATCATTTTTGTGAGAAATACAATAGAGTGTTCTAAGTGCAAAAAAAAATGGAACCTTGGACCTCAATTTTTTTTCTGTCGCTCTAACTGACTGGAACAAAATAGTCCAGGACCTACTGTGCTACAGTTGCATCCAAAACGAATTTAAGGGCTGGTATATACGAAAAACCACAATTGAAAAGTGATCCTTAATATAATATATATTTTATGATAAATATTATTATTACACAATAACTCGGATAGTGTATTCAATCTGATACACAGTTATGAAAATACTCCGGCTAGTGTATTTAATCTAGTATACTGTTATTACAATGACCCGTTAGTGTATTCAATTTGATATACTGTTATAATAATAACCCGGATAGTGTATTCAATCTTATATACTGTTATTACAATAACCCAGAAAGTGTATTCAATCTGATATACTGCTATTACAATAACCCGGATAGTGTATTCAATCTGATATACTGTTATTACAATGACCCGGATAGTGTATTCAATCTGATATACTGTTATTATAATAACCCAGATAGTGTATTCAATTTGATATACTGTTATTACAATGACCCGGATAGTGTATTCAATTTGATATACTGTTATTACAATGACCCGGATAGTGTAATCAATCTGATATACTGTTATTATAATAACCCGGATAGTGTATTCAATCTGATATACTGTTATTATAATAACCTGGATAGTGTATTCAATCTTATATACTGTTATAACAATAACCCAGAAAGTGTATTCAATCTGATATACTGCTATTACAATAACCCGGATAGTGTATTCAATCTGATATACTGTTATTATAATAACCTGGATAGTGTAATCAATCTGATACACTGTTAAAATAATAACCCGGATAGTGCATTCAATTTGATATACTGTTATAATAATAACCCGGATAGTGTATTCAATCTGATATACTGTTATTACAATAACCCGGATAGTGTATTCAATTTAATATACTGTTATTACAATGACCCGGATAGTGTATTCAATTTAATATACTGTTATAATAATAACCCGGATAGTGTATTCAATCTGATATACTGTTATTACAATAACCCGGATAGTGTATTCAATCTAATATACTGTTATTACAATAACCCGGATAGTGTAATAAATCTGATATACTGTTATTACAATAACCCGGATAGTGTATCCAATCTGATATACTGTTATTACAATAACCCGGATAATGTATTCAATCCGATATACTGTTATTACAATAACCCGGATAATGTATTCAATCTGATACACTGTTACAACAATGACCTGGATAGTGTATTCAATTTGATATACTGTTATAATAATATCCCGGATAGTGTATTCAATCTGATATGATGTTATTACAATAACCTGGATAATGTAATCAATCTAATATACTGTACATGTTATAACAATAATGTGGATAGTGTTTTCAATTTGATATACTGTTACAACAATGACCCGGATAGTGTATTCAATCTGATATACTGTTATTATAATAACCCGGATAGTGTATTCAATCTGATATACTGTTATTACAATGACCCGGATAGTGTAATCAATCTGATATACTGTTATTATAATAACCCGGATAGTGTATTCAAACTGATATACTGTTATTACAATAACCCAGATAGTGTATTCAATCTGATATACTGTTATTATAATAACCCCCGGATAGTGTATTCCATCTGATATACTGTTATTATTATAACTCGGATAATGTATTCAATCTGATACACTGTTATAACAATGACCTGGATAGTGTATTCAATATGATATACTGTTATTATAAAAAAAAACAGATAGTGTATTCAAAACACGACTCAAGTATATCCTCTTACCAGTTGGATACATCCATGGTGTATGATATGCGTACTCTCCTACCCAGACGTGCTCTCTGGGGCCAATGATTTCCTGGCAAGCATTTACTTCATCGCGCGTCACAGGCATGGCCAAAAAGGAAGACATTTCCTGGCAGGCGGTAAACGCATGTTCCCAGGTAACGTTGGCGTGGTATAGCGACAGCTGATGAGATACTGTAGCATAGGACAGACATAGGGATCCATCTGGTTAACGATATCATCTGGGAGATTGCATTATAATCGAAAATGTTAGTTAAATTTATCAGCATAATGTCTCTGTAACATTGGTTCAACATTGTAACTTATCGAACGATAGGAAAGTATGGGTGCAAAATAATCACCCATCAAATGTGATACAGACAGACAGACAGACACAGACAGACAGAGGACGTTAGATAATTGAAGTTTAGCAATCTCAAAGCCTCGCGCTAAACCTCGGGTAAGATTTCCTGTGATAAATTCGATTAGTCAACAAAAAATAAGTATCATAAAAACTGATATATCCAAAGGCCATTACGGAATCTGTATGACTGATGGCGTCTATCTCCCAAATGGAATACCAGTATTATCACCTGATGACATTCTAGAAGGATGGTATTTGTTGTTTAAATGGGTTTATAGGAACACTTTAAAGCGATGAAGATTTGGCTATACGCTAGGAAGGCTGCAACAAAAATCACAATGTTTATACTCCCACAAATTACTGACATTTCATTCTAAATATGTCCAAATATTTCGCTATTAATATTAATAATGTACAAAGGATAACGTCCTAATGTTCTTACCTATGATGCCATGGCCTTTTGTTACTCCATCAGCGTCCAGTGTTAAAAGGATTAAGACAGTCAGAACCTTTATCACCCAAACACTGTGGACTTTCATGTTTCGAGATTTTAAAGTCAAATAGTGCATTGTAGTTATAACGGATGTAAACTGAGCCCAAAGGGGTTTGTGACTTCCTTGTACGATACACAAGATACTTAGCATGCTACAATTTTTTAAGGAGATGGACTGCTCTTTTCGTATCATGTCGTCCCGTGTCGGAAAAGAGTATATTTTCAAAGTTTAATTATAAATAGTGTCATCTTCAATACTAAAGTGGTATCGCTCACCTTCGCTGTGCAGAGAGCGTAAGTGAGTATTACCCCTGGAGTATCGAAGATTGGGAGCAGAGAGTGTAAGTGAGTATTACCCCTGGAGTATCGAAGATTGGGAGCAGAGAGTGTAAGTGAG